ATAAAAAAGTTTAACTAATAGAGGTAATTGTGGTGTTGTCACAACATACATTATGCTGATTTTGTACGAGTTAGGCTAATTGTAATATATGTAATATAATATTCTAATGTCTGTAGATGTAATGTCGGATCCAGTCTTAACTATAACAGGTAGTTGTGATGTGGCTGCAGCAAACATTACGGCTGCCAATTGTAATCCAATTGTAATACTTCTGCCTGCTAATTGGAATACTCTCATGACTCTAGATAAAAGCTAATAAGCTGCTCATGTTATTTCTTCGTTTTCCTCCAGGCTGATTTTCCTTTGTATATGATTTATGTTTGGCTAAGGATTCGATTGAAATGATATAACTTGTAAGTTTGTGTCAAATGAATTAAGGTAAAGGGGTTTTGAAACTTGAGAGAATAACATCTGACTTCCCTTTTGTTGCCAATTTCTGCTATCAAATTCAAATTTCAAATCGAACCCCATCGACATTTGTAAATTGTAATTCTTAACTACTCTGTATACTTGTATAATTACCCCAAACATGAGGGGTAGTTCAGTTTACCCCCAACAAAAGAACAACGTTGCAGAACAGGTCACTGGCATTTGCATCACTTCATGCTTGTCACCCATGCACCACAACCAGAGTCAGATTTCAATTGGATGATCTATACAAGTTGGAGGATGCTCGGAAATCATCAAGAACAAGTAAAAGGATGAACCAAAGAACAGAAAACAGAGAAAAATAATAATCAATAGCTCCAAGTTCAAGTATAATCATACACAAAGTTAATCGTTTTGTTGTGATCACCATCATCCCCCCACAACATAGCTATCACAAGGTTGGATAGTGTCATGACCTCTATTCAGAATTCAAAACCTCTAACAGAAGGCCAAAAGCACAAAAAAACTAACAAAGCTATACCAATTCAATTTCTAGATCACCCGTTCAAGATCACGCAAAATCAAGAAAATTTCACCGAAAGCTCAGCACATTAAACTACCAGTCAAGAAAACCAGAAAGTGTGTAATAATAGATTTCTTGTTCCACTTCTAGGCACAAACAAAGCACTTCCATTTATTCCATACCAAATGCCTGTCTCCTTAAAAAACTTCAAATCGATACTTACAGATACCATTAACTCCCAACACAGTAAATCACTTTGTTTGAAGAATGTACACTAATGGCAAGCAGAATATCAAATTCAAAGAAAATAGCACAAATGTATCATACTATAACAAACAAATTCTCCCATCAATCTACACCTTCTCTCATTCAAATAAGTACAACATTTTTTATGCCATTTTCAAATTTTCTCAACAGCAGCAAAAAGTTACAAGAAAAGCAATGCACAACAAAACAATGTAGTTAAAAATAAAAAAATAAAAAAAGAGGGGAGAGGTTTTCCCCAGAAATTCTCACCACTTGCTGCTTCACTTTGTCTTCACGCTCACCCCACTGCCTCCGGCGATAATCACGGCCGTGGCCATATCCAGGAACAGCCCGTGCTCCACCACCCCCTCCAGGGCGGCGATCTCCTTCCCGGCCGCGCCGGAATCCCTAATCGGCGTCTTGAAATACAGATCCACGATGTAATTCGAGTTATCAGTCACGTAGGGTTTCCCATCTCCATCCAATCTCAATTTCGCCTCGCAACCTTCCTCCTTAAACAGCTCCTTCAATCGAACCAGATTGTAATTCCAGCAGAACTGCACGACCTCGACGGGCATGGCGAGGCCCGACCCGCCCAGACCGGTGACCAATTTCGAGTCGTCGACCACGACCACGAACCTGTCGGAGGCCGCCTCGACCATCTTCTCGCGGAGGAGGGCGCCGCCGCGTCCCTTGACGAGATCGAGATTGGGGTCGACCTCGTCGGCGCCGTCAATGGCGAGGTCGAGGTGGGGGTGGGAGTCGAGGGTGGAGAGGGGGATGCCGAGGGCGGCGGCCTGCTCCTGTGTCCGCTTGGAGGTTGGGACGCCGACGATGTCGGTGAGGGCGCCGGACTTGAGGAGGGCGCCGAGCTTGTCGACGACGAAGGCGGCGGTGGATCCGGTGCCGAGGCCGAGGACCATGCCGCTCTTGACGTAGTCGACGGCCTTGTCGGCGGCGAGCCTCTTGAGGTCGTCCTGGGTGAGGGCCGGGGCGGAGAAGGATCTGACCGAGAATCTGGAGGGGTTGGGGCGGAGGTGGAGGTNNGTGGAGGTGGGAGGGGGAGAGGCGGCGGCGGAGGTGGGTGGGTGAGAGGAGGGATAGGGCGGCGGCGGCCATGGATGGTTGTAGATTGGGGGTGTGTGATCCTCTCTTCTCACCAAGTTATCAATGTTGTGAAATGTGAGGACAAGAAGTATGGGTTAGGAGGGTTTTCTATTTCATGTAAACCATGATGATTGATTTTCTATTGGACCATTTGAGATTAAAAAAAATTAAAAAAAAAATAAAAATAAAAATAAAAAAGAAAAAAAAGAGACAAATTTCAATCTAAACAAAGATTTGTGAATTATATTATGTGGATTGTATTCATTGTGAGTACCTATAATGTCTAGTATTTTCTTTAAAAATCTTCATTCCCTATTCATCTTACATGTCAGTCTCTACTCATGTTTTCTTTCTTTTTACAGCCTTACCCTTATTCAAGTTTCAATTAAATCCCTCTTATTAAAATAAATCATAAAGAAAATGAAATGTGACATCATCCTATTACCAATTACATTTTCTTATTATTTTATTATTTTTCTCTTTCCACTACTATCATTCTTATTCTTTTATTATTTTTATTTCTCTCTTTTTGCACATTTTTTATTATTTTCTTTTTTCATCTTTTACTATTTATCTCACCTACAACTATTTTTGCTTAATTTCTTATTATTTTTATTTCTCTTTCCTTCCACACAATACATAGATACTAAGTTACAACAACATTGGTATTATCCTAGTACATTAGAGCTATCGTTTTTGTAAACAAATATTTACAGTATATATTTATGTTCGTTCGTATAAATCGTACTAAATGACAGTATATAAGTCCAGAGTTACTACAACACTGGTATTGTCCTATTCCAGTATAGGTATCAGTTTTGTAAATTCACTAAAACTAACTAGTATGAATCTGGTGCGATGCACGAGTAATAGGTATTCATTAATATTTAAATATATTAAAAATTTTCACTAAATAATATTTATAAATTAAAAAATATGAAATCAATATTTAATACGCCACCTATATTAATTTAATTGAAATGTAATATGAAATTTAAATTGTACTAAATTATAGAATATGTCTATTTAAAATTAGTACACAACCCGTACGGTGTACGTAACTGATAATAATTTACATTATTTCATTTCAAAATAAGTGTTATTTTGAAACTTTTATTCAAAAATTCAATTTGAATACAATGTGGTTCCATAAATTAAATATTTTAGAAAAATATTTATCTTCTATTTAAAAATATATGTGAATATTAAGTATAATATTAAAACTTATATCTTTTCATTAAGTAATAAAATTAAATTTTGTATAAACTATCCAAACAAAAAAAAAATCTATATTTTACTAATCATTATTTCATACAAATCTATATTATATACGGAACGATAGAGATATTATATATAACGCACAAATGTGCAGAAAGCAGCTACCAGCTGATTACAAACAGCCAATAACTGAATACAAGCAGCCAATAGCGGAAAAACTGGGAGGATAGGTCAAAAGACCGCCTAGAACCGACCTCAACTGGTAAAACTCGGGAACCCTAAAAAACACACAAAACAACAAAAAAAACAACAACACAAGACCCCCACAGGGTAATTCCCGAGTGTTGAAAATCTATATTATATTGATCTTATGGTTTTTAAGGTTTTGTTGTATGTTACTCAGTCGTTCCAATTTATCAACTAATTCTCTAGAATTAAATAATAAATTTTAAATTTTATTAAAAAATATTTATTCAAAGATCTAATTTTCAAGAGGAATATATATCAATTAATACGATACTTGTATACTACATGGGTACTTAATATATTGATATTTATACAATAGAAAAATTAAAATAATTTAATTTTTTATTGTAAATTATGTATAATGAATATAAAAAATAATGAATAACTAACAAAGTAGTATTTAATTTAAAATCGGCCCGTATTTTTTACTTAATTTTTTTATCTAAAATTTACAAACAAATGCATTAAAATAGTTATTTTATGGTGTATTATTGAATTAAATTTTTATTACATTTATTATAAAATAATTTATATTGTATTTGTATTTTTAAAATATTTTTTTAATAAATTTAATTTTATTATAATGATAGATGTAATTATTTTTTATTTTATATATGCAATATGGCAAATCAAAGATCGTTAAAATATGATTATTTGGAGATATAATATACAAGAAATAAAATACAAATAAAAAAATTATAAATATTTAAAAATAAATAGAATACATATTTATAACAATTATTATATGAATTAAATAAGAAAAAATAAGAGCGGTATTGGTAAATTAAGAAAAAGGAAAACCTACTTTGGTCAACCAATATGAATTACTTTAATTTTAGTCAATGTTTGTAAAAATAGTACCACTCCTAGAGTTAGACAGTACCCATTAAATGGTAGTTTAGTACTCAATATCGTGCCGTCAGTACCAATTCCAATGAACATTTTGAGATATAATATACAAGAAATAAAATACAAATAAAAAAATATAAATATTTAAAAATAAATAGAATACATATTTATAACAATTATTATATGAATTAAATATGAAAAAATAAGAGCGGTATTGGTAAATTAAGAAAAAGGAAAACCTATTTTGGTCAACCAATATGAATTACTTTAATTTTGGTCAATGTTTGTAAAAATAGTACCACTCTAGAGTTAAACAGTCCTCATTAAATGGTAGTTTAGTACTCAATATCACGCCTTCAATACCAATTCCAATGAACATAGAAAAACATCGAATTTTGGTCTTAAATGATGTTTACATTACAAAATCACTTATACATTAGTTTCTATGAGTATTTGAATATGTTTAATTAAGTTTACTCGACAAGTGGTCATGAACTCAATAGAGTTTTAATTTTGAAATTTATAAATATTTTGATTTTATTTTTAGGTAATTTTCATTTTATGGAAACAAATTTGTCTTTTAATTTTATATAAATAAAGATCATCCCTTAATATATCCACAACAACAACATTCCATAATTATTGCAATTAAAATCACTTAGGCAAAACATTTCATTTATGCAACCGATAAACATGATACATCACGCATTAAATTGGTTGATATTCTATCATAGTATTTATTTGTTTTCATTTAAAAAATAAATGATATGCTTAATTTTCAACAAATAAATATTTAAAATTTTGGTCTTTTTTTACGCATGGGGTTTCACAATAAATAATATAATATGGTCTTAACGGCCATTTATATTGAAATTATATTCCTGTTAGTGTTTTAAAATGTTTACAATGTAACTCGTCACGTTTTGGCTCTTATATCACGCAGCGTAAGTAGGAATTCGTGTTGCGTATGCTATTAGAGTATAAAATTTTGTTTGTTAGAAGTATCAAATATTTGCATATAATAAAATTGGGTTGTTAATTTAAAAATTCGTGTTGCGTAAAATTATTTTAGGTTTTTTTTTCTCAAGTTACCATATACTACTCTTACTCTTTCTTATTTATAATTCATATAATAATTGTTATAATAAATATGTATTCTTTTTATTATTAAATATTATATTTTTTTATTTTTTGTATGTTATATCTCAAAATAATCATATTTTATTTTCTTCGATTCGACATCCCTATTGCATATATAAAATAAAAAATAATTACATCAATTATTATAAATAAAACTATACTTATTTAAAAAATAATTTCAAAAATATGAATACAACATAAATTATTTTATAACAAATATAATAAAAATCTAATTCAGTAATATACCATAAAATAATCATTTTAATGCGTTATATCATAGATATTAAATAAAAAAGAAAATTAAGTGAAAAAACTACGGGCCCCATTTTGAATTGATTACTACTTTGTTAGTTATTCATTATTTTTATACGTAGAATTTGGAGTAGTCATGTATGATGATTCTATGTCATGAAGAGTGTCATTCAATGAAATGAATTGTATTAATAGTGTTTTTCTCATTAGTGTGTCGAGTTCATGACCATTTTAAGATTAAATTCAATTAAAAATATTTAAATCTCATATAAATTAATGTGAGAGTGATTATGGGTCATATAAACATCATTTGAGACCGAAATTTGGTGTTTTTATGTGTTCGTTACAAGTGGTACTAAAGACCCAATATCAGGCACTACAACAATATAAAACTGGTACTATCTTACTCTATGTCTAGTACTACTTTTTGTAAATATTGACCAAAATTGAAATAATCCATTTTTGTTCACAAAAGTAGGTACTAATTGATCAAAAACAGGTACCATGTAGAAGAAGATGCGGTACTATTTTGGCGACAACAGGTACTATTTTAAGAATTGTAAATTCTCAAATCCTTCATTTCTACCATGACACGTGGATCGATCACGCGTGATTTGGATGAAAAATAGTGAGGTTAAAACATATAGGTAGAATTTGGAGTAGTCATGTATAATGATTCTCTAAGATGAAGTGTGTGATTCAATGAAATGAAGTGGATTAGTAGTGTTTACTCATTAGTGTGTCGAGTTCATGACTATTTTATGATTAAACTCAATTTAAAACATTTTAAATCTCATACAAACTAATGTGAGAGTGATTATTGGTCATATAAACATCATTTGAGACCGAAATTCGGTGTTTTTTTTTTATATTCGTCGAAGTTGGAACTAAAGACCCAATATCTGGTACTAAAACACCGAAAGCTGGTACTATCTTACTTTAGGTTTGGTACCAATTATTGCAAATGTTGACCACAATTGAATAATCCATTTTTGTTGACCAGAAGTTGGTACTAATTGATCAAAAACAGGTACCACGTAGAAGAACATGTGGTACTATATTGGCTCAAACAGGTACTATTTTAAGAATCCCGATTTCTCTAATCCTTCATGCCTACCATGACACGTGGATCGTTCACGCCTGATTTGGATGAAAAGTTAGTGGAAGTTAAAATATATAGGTAGAATTTAGAGTAGTCATGCATGTATGATGATTCTATGAGATGAAGTGTGTCATTCAATGAAATGAAGTGTATTAGTAGTGATTTCTCATTAGTGTGTCGAGTTCATGACCATTTTACGATTAAACTCAATTTAAAACATTTTAAATTTCATCGAAAATAATGTGAGAGTGATTATTGGTCATATAAACATCATTTGAGATCGAAATTCGGTGTTTTTATGTGTTCATTACAAGTGGTACTAAAGACCCAATATATTGTACTAAAACAACGAAAGATGGTACTATCTTACTCTAGGCCTGGTACCAATTATTGCAAATGTTGACCACAATTGAATAATCCATTTTCGTTACCAAAAGTTGGTATTAATTGATCAATAACTAGTACTTCGAAGAAACAAAAGTGGTATTATTTGCGTAAAAACTGGCACTATTTTACAAAAATTAGTTTTATTTTTTATTTTTTTTAACGTTAGTCGGAGTTGGTACTGAAGACCCGATATGACTTTGCCGGCGAGTATGAATATACCTTTATGTGTTGTGTGACAAATTGGAAGAGGTTGAAACCACGGCCTAAGAGCATCTTCAATCAGGAAATGTCCACACTTAAAAATAGTGGCCACATGGCATGCAATGAATGGAACTGTCAATTAGAAAAGAGGCTAAAAAACGTCCACACTTAATGCATCTTCCAATGCATTATTTTTTTATTCAATGTCTTGACTATGTAAACAATCAAATAACTAAATTTTGGCTCGGTTGCAACAACCATTGTGATAGAATTGATTGACTTGGTTTTATTATATCATCTCATCAACATCATTTTTTTCCCAAAAAAAAAAACAAAGATTCACAAAAATAGCAATTTTGTTTTTCATTGAGCATTATAAATATACAATGTTTATAAAAGAATAGAGCTTTATATTTAACATGTGATTACTTCCAAATTCAAGGTAATTCATTTATGCAATTTTCTGTTTTCTTTCTTCTTGATTCGTTTTTTTAATTAAATTAAGAATGCATTCACTCCACATTATTGAATTTTTAATTCAATAACAAATTTTTTGTTGAGCCCTTTAGGTGGGATCAAATCTACATAGTAGGACAAATTTTATGCTAAATACATGTAATAGATAAAAAAAGATGAAACTAATTTATTAGTTTTTATTTCAATTTTTTCAATCAAATATTATCATTCTCTGATATTGATTAATTATTTTCGTTACATTTTGTACATTAATATCATTCTTAATTATTTATAATTCATTGTTACTGTTCTTATTCTACTGTAATTTATTTAACGACATGTACCATTATATTGCAGGTTGTAATGATTTCAACAAACGATGGATCGGATTCTTATAGCACATCAAGCGATGTCGAACTTTCACTTACCAAACAATTATTAGATGATCCACTCGAAGATGATATTTTATTTCAGAGTTGTGATGTCATTCAAACATACTCGGTTCATATTCCTGTGATAATATTCCCAATATTAACAAACACGAACCGTCCTCATGGTGGAACAGAAAGTAGTCGACGCTACATTCGTCGTGATAGGGAACAACGTCATGAACTTATTCTCAACAACTACTTCAAAGGTGAGAATGCTAAATATACACCTGAGCATTTCAGACGTCGATTTCGAATGGATATTGAGTTATTCAAAAGTATTTTACAAGCGATTAAAAATTATGATGACTATTTTACACAAAAATACGATGCAGTGGGAAAACGTGGTTTGAGTCCTTTACAAAAAATGATCGCAGCTGTACGTATGCTTGCGTATGGTTGTGTTGCCGATCTCCTTGATGAATATGTACAAATTGGTGAAAGTACGGCGATTGAAAGTCTAAAACGTTTTTGTGATGCTATCATTGGAATATATGAAGAAAAATATTTAAGAAGGCCTAATAAATTTGATGTTGAAAACTTGCTAAAAGAAGGTGAGGCTCGAGGATTTCCTGGTATGCTTAGTAGTTTGCATTGTATGCACTGGCATCGGAAAAATTGTCCCACGGCTTGGCACGGGACACATACAAATGGCTTCAAAAGAGTTCCGACCCTTATCTTAGAGATTGTAGCCTCAAAGAATTTATGGATTTAGCATGCATTTTTTGGCATGACTGGTACAAATAATGATCTTAATGTCCTGGATAGATCTCCGTTATTCGATGATATTATTAATGATGTCGCGCCACAATGTGATTTTGTAGTGCAAGATCATCATTATAATATGGGTTATTATTTATCTGATGGAATTTATCCACAATATGCCACTCTTATTCAAACAATATCTCACCCCACATCTATGAAAGAAAAAATATTTGCAAAACATCAAGAAGCCGTACGAAAAGATGTGGAGCGAGCATTTGGAGTGCTACAAAGTCGATGGCATATTATCAAAGGACCAGCTCGTATGTGGAATGCAAAAGATTTGGGAAAAATAATGAAGACGTGTATAATATTACACAATATGATTATTGAGTCCGAGCATAGTCAAGGCATGAATCCTGAAAGTTGGCAACCTCATGGAGATGAAGCGGTTGAGAATGTTACTCCGGAACATGATTTTACTTTTCTTATGAAAAGGATGAATAGTCGCATGAAACAAATACAGGACAAAAGGGTGCACAAGGATTTGAAGATTGATCTTATTAATCGTATATGGGAATTGTACGGTGGCCATCAAGTTGCTTGATTTTGTTCTTTTATTGGGATCATTTGCATAATATTTATCTTTTGGGATGACAATCCTTGAGTTTATCATTTTTCATAAAACAATAGATTGATATTTTATTTATGAATTTTCCGCTTTTAAAATATTTACTTTCTTCAACTATAAAACATATGATATACCATTGGAAAACCAAAAGAGTCTAGTTTCCAACAAAAATAACGGAAGTAAAAAATATTAAGTATAGAGAGAGTTATTGTCGTTTGAATAAAGCTTGACAAAATCTTACTAGTTGCTAGAAAAATAATTGACAAAAAATGTTCACGTTTAACCGCCATTTTTAACGAATAAACTGATTTTATTGGTTGCGAACTATATGGTATATGCTATACCATTGGAAAGCCAGAAGAATCTAGTTTCCAACAAAAAAAAAAAAAGAAGTAAAAAATATGAAGTATAGAGAGAGTTATGGTAGTTTGAATAAAGCTCGGCAGAATCTTACAAGTTGCTGGAAAAATAATTGACAAAAAATGTTCACGTTTAACCGTCAATTTTAAGGAATAAACTGATTTTATTGGTTGTGAACTATAGGGAATATGCTATACCATTGAAAAGCCAAAAGAGTCTAGTTTCTAACAAAAAAATACGGAAGTAAAAAATATTAAGTATAGAGAAAGTTATTGTAGTTTAAATAAAGCTTGGCATAATCTTACTAGTTGCCAAATATACTACACAGTGAAAACATGTGCAATAACTGGTACAAATCATGATAAACAAAATCAAATAACAACTTATCATCCCTAACTGAGTATTGAACAAACCAAAAAAACGTAAAAAAACAGAAGAAAAACATAAATAACAAATACTTTAAGGCCCTAATAACAATTTCATATGAAATGATCTTAAACTTAGCAAACTACAAGGTTTTAAACAAAAGTCATCCCAAACTCCAAATGCTAGCTCATCACAAGTCCTGAAAATATTAAAAAATAAAAAAATCAATGCATCAATAAACAGTTTAAATGACACCAAACAAAGCCAAGCCAAATAATAAGGCCTACCATATTAGATCCGTGAAAAAATTCACTCTCCAACTCTTTGTAACATCTAATGCATCAACTCTTTTCACCACATAAATATATAAATAGAAGAATAAGATGTTAAGAATGAGTATCAACATACCGGATTAAATTTGCAAGGATCGTCATCCTCCAATTCTTTCAAGATTTCAGCCTTTCTAAGTTCATAATAAGCTCGACGAGTAGGAGAGAACTTGCTTAAGTCTTGGTTCATAAAGTGGTCTTGCTCTTGCCTCCTTTGCTCTTTCAACTTCATTATAAACATTTTTTCTTTCAAATTTTGAGCTCTCTCTTTTAAGTCTAGTTCTTTCTGCATTACTTCCCCCCGTAGCTGTAGTTATTTGCATCTTTTTCTCTTTTCATCTCCAAAGTTGCTTGATTAATGCTAACTTGTTTCTCTAATGTACAATGCAACTTGCTCAATGCATCCACCACACTTTTTTCCTCATTCAGTTTTCTCTTCCTCTCTTTACAGGCTTTTCTTCCTTGCAGGCGCTTAACGCCATTAACTTTGGTCCAACCAGAAAGAACATCACAATCATTAATGTTACCTTCTAGTTGATTGACCATTGTTGTTTTGTTGTGCTCAACCCCTTGTTTACATCCTGTAGCCGTAGTCTTTGCAAGCTCTTTTGAACACCATTTAGGATTTTTAATCAAAACTTCCCAACAATGGATAAATTTAAAAGGAGCACCGACTAAATCTTCATACGACCGCATAGCATTTATTCTCTACACAAGAAACAATAATATATATTAATTAAAAATTAAATGATAATTTTTATAGATTATTGTAATGAACTAAATTTAATCATATTTAATCATATTTAAGATATGAGATTACTGTAATGAACTACATATTTATAGATTACTGTAATGAACTAAAAATTAATGAAGTACATATTTATAGATTACTGTAATGAACTAATAATAATGAACTACATATTTATATATTACTGTAATGAACTACATATTTAAGACATGAGATTACTGTAATATGAACTAAAATTAATCATATTTATAGACTACTATAGTTAACTACAATTTGGATAGATGTTCATGTAGATTCATTTTAAGACATGAGTCAAGATTTAATTTCGCTCGATAAATTAAATAATAAAACAACATTCATACCAAATCATTTGAGTTCGAACCACTTTGTGGATGCCGTTCTAAACGCTCATATTGTGCATGGAACTTGCTCACTGCAAATTGAATTTTGGACCATTTGAGTTGCAGACTATTGTTATTTCGAGCCGTATTGCATGCAACTCCCATATTCTCTTTCCAAGCTTCTAATATGCGATCCCACATAGCTGCTCCCTTTTGATTGTTACCAACTTCAGCATCCTCCGAGACATACAACCATGCTTTTGTTAATGCAATCTCTTCTTCTTTTGTCTAATCCTTTTTTGCAATCGAAGATTGAGAGTTGGTAGGATTTTGAGTATCTTTTTCTCTCTTCTTTCGTTCTTTGGTTGCATCACGAGTTTGAGTATTTCACATTGGAGCATTCAAAAGACTCTGGAAGGAGAATCCATTAATTGGATCAAGGTGAATGCGAGGTTGCTGATCGGCATGAGGATGATAATTTCTATTTGTTGGATCAAAGTGAAGAACAGGTTGAAATAGAAAATTCATTGGATGAGGCATGGTATAATTCAATGGATGTTGGGCACATGAATTGTTTCCAGATTCCTGTGAGTCCATCTTCTGCATATCAAAACCGATAAGTTAGCAACCCACCAAAGTAATTAGTAATCATCAGTTTATGAGAGGAAATGAAACGCATGTAAATTTACAAATAATACCACCACTTTAATGTGCTGCCACCAAATCACTTAATTAAGTCAACTTACAATAATTACCAACTGAATATAGAACCTTACAATAAAATGCTAGTGCAGGAAACAATTGTTTTTTATTACTGAATATAGAACCTAAAACTTGTTATTCCTTCGAGTCTCGAAGAAAATTGATTGTTACACCTATGTAGCAGTAATTACCAACTGCACATTCGGTTGGAACATCCAGCCTTAGGAAAGAGGCAGAGAGTAACATCTTAGTCAAAGGAAAGTGAAAGCACATTCTCTGTATACTCCAGAAATCATAAAACAAAATTTCACAACCACAGCCATTTCTTGATATGAAATGCCCATGAAGACCATCCATATGTAAATAACCAATAGATAAACCAACAATCATCATCTTTCAATATATACAGAATCCTCTTTATTTTCTCATTTTCCCTAACCATGCAATAGTCGTAAACAATTTGCAATTCTTTAAAAATTTACATTATCCTACATAAAAGAAAGAAAAAAAAAAACCACAATAAGTAGCATCAGAAGGTTTTCTCACCTGACTAGACACAGTCGAGTTATTGTTCATTTAACTACGACAGACATCCAAAGCCTGAAAATAACATGACTGTCTCCTTATAAATTCCACTGGTAGTATTTTATATCTCCATTTTTATTCTCTGAAACTGAAAGGGTGTGTTATACAGTTTTCAGTATTTCCTTTCAACCAAAAGAATAGCAATAATCACCAACATATTTTCATACTTCAAATGGTATATAACAGAGGGCACATACAATATAAAGAATATCAACACCCACCAAAGTTAACTAAATGAGACCTTAAAAAAATCAATTTTACTAAATGCCTCACAAACATCAAATTTCACCACAGAGGCACAACAAACCATACTTGACAATTCGAAGGAGAAAAACACCCATGGTAGTATTTTATATCTCCAATTTAGGAGGGCCTGGGTTATCTTTAGGCACTTTCATAAAGCACAAATACAAAATCCTCTTTCTTTTCTCATTTTTCCCAACCATGCAAAAAATATTTAGATTTCTAAAACCATTCAAATGATGAATACGCTATGCAATTTTGTTATTGCTTAAAAATAAAAATGGGAAAATAACCAGTGAACCCTAATGCTGATAAAAAAATCAATCGCCATCCATGTAGAATAATTTTTCATTAAAAAATCAGAACTTGATGAGTAATTCTAAGAACCCTACAAATGCCGAAGAAGAAAATCATACCGTCCCTCCGTCCCTCATACTGTGGCCAATGATGGAGAGAGAACAAAGAAACCCGCGAGTAGTACTCGATCTTATGGCTGGTTCCGGAGGCTTTGAGAAATTTAATGTTTGGATATCGTTAATTGCTCTGAAAAATCTCAAGCCATCGATTCTCCTTCAGTCTTCTCGCCCGCCATATTTTTCCCGCGAATCTGAAAAAATTTCTCCTTTTTTTCCCACTATTCCAAAGATTTTGGCATGTTTATTTGTGACTCTGACTGTCCAATATACTGTTTGAAGGCAAACACTGGGCTTGACTAGTGTTATGCCACGTAAAAAAAAAACCGCCCCATGATGGAGTGTACTGTAGAAGAAAATATGAAGACATTGTGACATGGCATAGATTTTTTTTCCTTTAACAGCCTACGCTGGAGATGCTCTAAACACCATCGTATACTATCTATATGTGTGACATATTCACAAGACCTTTAATTTTCTTCCGTTATTTCCATTATACATTTCTTTTTATAACTTTTCCCAATTCTTGAAGCAAAAACTCAAACGAGCTTTGTTCTTTAATTTTTCTCAAATTTGCAGCAGCTTTGAGTTAAAACCTTTTTATTGCACTTACTGATACATTAACACCACCATTATACCCTAGATCCAACAGAGATACATGTTTGAGTTTAAGTTAATTACAAACTTCGCTGAATTTTTCATTGCTTAGAGTAAGTAAATTACCATAGATTTGCTCTTTTTTAGGGCTGCCAGTTGGATCAATTTGGGAAGAATTTGTTTATTTGTCCGAAGAGATATCAACGTCCAACCAAATGATTTAATGCCTTATTAGCATTGTATCAGTAACACAAAAGGTGAAAACAAACAGTTGAATGAGAAGGAATGAAGGATTATTCGCATAGAAAGCCCCGTCAATCTGAAATTGGACATTATCAACCTTATTATGAAAAAGTTACACTCCTAATATATTTGCTTGCAAAAAGCTGCATCCAGATATTAATCTCGTGAAGACAAATATTGACCGGTCTGGAGAAAAAGCTTATTTAGGCAATGCAGAATAAAATTCAAAATCTTAAATTGAAAACCAAGCACAAGAGCAGTTAAATACAGTCATGGTCTTTCTTTTTTACAAATGGAGCTATCACTATTAAAACACATATACTAAACAAGCAAATGGGCGCTTTTTCCCTTGGAAGAAAAGAATCTGCTAATTCCACGTGCATGCTTTTCTGGTGTGGGAGTAGAAGAAGCAGAAGATGAGCCAGACCTTGTGGTACGAGATTTCGGAAGCTTTGATCCTATGTTTGATGTAATTGATCCGTTTGATAGAGACTCGGTTGGACTAGGTGGACCATTGAGCAGATGATCCAAGGTGTAATCTGTCATGCTTGTTCTACGGGAACTGAATGAATTAGCCATATCAATTTCAGATGGACCATAATCATTTTTATCCTCGGACGAGACTTCAACCTGTTGACTGCTTACGTTTTTCTGGGTGCGTAAGGCTCTCAGCTGCTTATCGAGAAGAAATATGGTTTCTTGGCACTCTACCAGCTTTTCGGCTGCAGAAGCTAATTCCTTCTCCTGATACAAAACAATAAGAGTAATTTCATAAGGATTATTTACCAAAGGAAAATAATATAATAATCATTTAAATCTCAATTTCAAGGGGATAGACAAATTTTTACAGACAAATTAATGGCAAAAGCAAGATGAATTTCATAGGTCTACCTGGCTAGTCTTAACAGCTGCCCCAGCCTTACAAATGTCAATCCTGACATGGACACATGACACAGTTAGATTTTTAAGAATAAAGGAGACATTATGGAATAGTGTCTCAAATACAACAATTTCTGAAGTAAATGAACCTAACACAAAAGAAGAGTAACTTGTTTTACTACCTTTGTAGTTGCTCCAATAGATCATTGCATCTAGCAACTGCCTCTTGATGACTCCTCCTCTCCTCTTGCAGCTCATTATCCAAATTCTCTAATTTCCCATTCAGAAAATTAACTTCCTTCTGCAATTCCTCTGCCCGAATTTCAAGCACTCTGTAAGACTCAGCCATGCACTTGAGCTGTGTCTCGGTCAAGCTGTTTGACTTTTGGGATAATGCTAATTCTGATTTAACATCAGTTAGTAGTTTTTCTGTTTCCAGCAAACGGGACTTGGTGCTCTCGAAATCTTCCCTACATCTAGCCAAATCGGCTTCCAGCCTGTCCTTGACCATATTCAACTTCTCAAACTCCTCCAATGAACATCTTCCCAAATCCCCTTTCGACTCGTTGGTTGGGACATTATTCTCATCACTTAGGATATCAGGTTCTGATGTGGAATCCAAAACCTTTGAACAATTATTCGAAGGTAAAGCAATTTTGTCGATGCAATCCGAAGTATCAAAATTTCCCACATCAGAGCTCTTAAATCCCGGGAAATTGAATTGCATTGAACTTGCCTTGTTTAAAATGCTAGACATGTCTCGAACAAAGTCGGCTAAATTGATCTCGCTGTTAATAGATTCAGAATATTTGGTACTGAATGCATCAAACTCTCCACTTAGTTCATCCTCATCATCGGATGCTTTTAGTACAGCCTTAGCCTCTTTACCAAGAGTCCTTACAAAATCACAAAGACGCGAGATGGCTATTTGCAATCTTTGGTCGTTTTTAACTGAAACTTCCGAACCAAAAACTGTTCCATTTGACTCGTTCGACATGTCTGCTAATTTCTCCATCTCCAAAAAGTCATCCATTAGCTCCAGGTGACTGCCGGTAGTTTTTTCCTTCTGAAAGTAGGAATTTCCAGAAATAGAAACTGTAGTCCAAGAACCAGCACAGCTCACACTATCGTCATATTCATCCTTATTGGAGAAATCTTCGGTAGAGACTTGAGCATTAGCTTCTAGACGTTGAAGCTTGCCGGCCGTCTGTGTGTGCATAGTTCTAGAAGCTTGCAGTGAACTGTTACAATTTTCCAATGCTTCCTTTAAAGCCCTTCTCTCTTCATCCATAGCCATTAAACGTAATGTTAATAGCTCGTTCTCTTTCTGGTACTTAATTGAGTTGTCAAGCGAAAATTCAGTAGTAGGTTTCAGTGGCGACCTTGGTGATCTTCTCAAACGAAGCTCATTATTATAATCTCGCTTAGAATTCTCGACTTCAAATTTCATCTGGGCCACTGCAGCTGGACCTGGCAGTTTTTTCCGAACAAGGGCCCGCAATCTCTGGCACTCGGTTTCGAGCTTAGTAATTTTCTTCACTCCTTCAAGGTATTGCTTGTTTGCCACTTCTAAGGACCGCACGCTAATGTTCTTTTCCTCATTGCGTATTTCCAACTCTTTCCTAGATATATGAAGCTCGTATTTGAGCGAGTTCACTTCATTTTCAGACATCTCAATCCTGCCCTTCAGAAACTCTATCTCGGCATCAGCTCGTGATTTTTCTTCGCTTATCTTAAGCAAGACGTTCGACCTTTCCTGCAAAGATCTTGAAAGAGCAGCGTTTTCAGATGCAGTGTTGAGTAGATCTTGCTCGAAATTCGAAATTTGCGATTCGAGTTCGCGCTTCATCTTGTCGAAGATGTTTGTTCTGTCACGAACTAGTTCGTGCAGCTTTTGATTGTGTTCTTCCTTTAAGTTTCTTATTTGCTTCATGCATTCCTTGAGAGCACCATCCAAATGTAAGGCTCTATCTTCTGCAGTTAGCTTTAGTAGTGTCACGGATTCAACTTGAGTTTTCAACATGGCAGCTTCGGAATCCGCCTTTTCCCAACCTGTCCAAACAGTTTCAAGCATTATAATT